TTTTTGTTGAAACTTTAACAGTAATCAATGGTATTATTGCTGTTAATGAGTACAAATTCGAGTATTCTCCACCTCTCTCACCAAGCCGGGAATATTTCAGAGTTCTGAAATTAGTTTTTAGAAAGTCGAATTCTTCTTGATAGGATTGCTGACACTACCCCACTGAACAGCTTGATCTAATAAAATAAGACAACTGATCACAAGAAAGATTCACAGATATCGACTGGATCTGTTCATGCAAAACTTCTATTGATAATAATAATCATATGGAAAAGGAGAGAACAGCAAAAATCGACAGCACTATAGAACATTCTGCAAGAAAAACTGGAAATCAAAATTACGAGAACAACCGTGATGAAATGTACTATGTAAAAAACGATTATTAACAACATATACAATAATACTCCGAACTGAATCACTTGCCATTACATAAAATACTTCTACATTAATTTCAGAATAAGTTTACCGTGAACGAATCACACAGAATGCATTCTGATAAATCTGAAGCAGTAAGCTCCTCAAGAAGGGAATATACGAATAAGGAGTTCTTGGCTTACTGGAACAAACACATACTGAGTCGAATCATCACAGAACTTCGGCTTCTATATACGATTCAAATGGTCCTAATGTTATCAAATAAGCATTCTGTATCCCTGAAGCTGATTAAAAACAATAGAATAGAATAGTAAAAGTCGTCTCAGAAAACACCAACAAATTCAGCAATGAACCTACATTTTTGTTTCATGAATGTTAGTAACAATCATCACAGCAATAATAATAATTCTGATAAACCTAGCAATGATATGTGATGACGACAGACAACGATATGATAGGAAGTAATAATTGATATGTGGGAAAATTGAACATAATCAATCCGTTTCATGATCGTATTAAAGGCGTAAGCCTATCGATTTTCAAGTAAATTTAAAAACTTTTTAAGCTAACAGAAATAGTATTATACTGATGAGAATGAAGATAACAATATAAGAACACTGAACGTACAAACGGTTATAACTGATTTATCAATGCTAACAAACTCACTAACGACAATATCAGTAATACTGCAATAATATATAAAGTCAAACAGTAATAGATTCAGTAATTTCAAGAAAACAGACCGTTATGTTTTGAGAACACCTAATGAAGATATAGAAATGATGCAAATTCGATTGAAATTCGCATGAAATAAACACACTCATATACAAAGCACACACTTCTGATATAATATATAAAAGATATTGTATATCATCACGCCTTCCTTCTTCATTCGTTCCACATCAACTGCACAATCAATGCACTAATGACGAATAACCAACCGTCCAACCAACCACCAATAACACATCATTCACTGTGTATGCTCGGCTAACTATATGTTCTTGTTCTATTATTATATAAATATGCTAATAAATATAAAACATTATGAATAACATAAATACATATACATTTAATTCTATATGCGCGCTGCATGATGAACGTGTGCATGACGTCAATAACAGCGTAAAACTGAGTATTACTGTCTTAACCGAACAAATATCAAGAGAACATTTCTTATCATGTTTTTTGCTCTGGGATGGCAACAACGAATTGATTGAGGCATTTGTTTGCATTGATTTTAAACGTACGTAGAAGTGTAGTACGCGAATGTGTCGATGCGTCTGATTAATTATCGATTGGACGTCGTTGGATGCGAAGTATGAGTGAAAACAGCAGACGATTTATATATGTATGCGAGTATTTGAAAATTAAATCTCTGCTCTAAACGTTCCAAGTAATCTTATTGCTTTATGAAAAGGATCAAAACTGCTCATACAGAAAGTTGATTAATACTCTCAAAATATCATAATGACGAACAGCAATGTGAATAAAACAGAAACTCAATAAACATGATATAGGCTTTCTAAGAAATGAACTGTTCCTATTCAGTAAACTTTTGCCAGTTTTGTCACGTCTTTCCACACCATGCTCTAACGTCTTTCTTCATTTTCCGTAAATCTCTACTCATCTTATACTTCCACACTTTTATTTCCTAACACTTATCACTCACTTCACAGTCAATCATTATCAACGATGAAGAAATTTTAGGAAAGATTCGGTTATGAACCAATTAATCAATGTTCTCCCCATAAAGATCAAATAAAAATGACCAATTTTATTCAGAATCAACGTTCACGCCCTATCGCCAAACGGAGAACCACCCAACAATAAGACATTACACATAAAACTCAACTGATGAATGATTTAGGTAGCATCACAGCAGGTCTAAAATATTCGGATGGAATCTTCACTCGCATTCACAATGCGCACTTGAAATAACCGTTCAAAGAAATATACGTTTAAAACATCATCGATTTCACAGAAATAATAATGTTCTCGCAGTCAAAATTCAATATCACCTACATACAAAAATTTTGCATGAATGGAATCTTATCAACCGATAAGAACTTTGCTACGACGCGCCAAAGCATCAAAACATAAAATGAAATCATTAGCTCGTCTTATTTCTTCACTTAACAATACTTTCACTTCAACTACACTTGATATTACCAATAAAAGTAAGCACATCAGTATGATAAGATGCTCTCAATTCTTTTAAGTCGATACACTCGCTTTTTGAAAAATAAACCTAGCATCATTTCTTTGCAGAACTGTCACAAAAAGCTAACACAATAACGAACATTTTCGAGAAAACAAATGCTAAAAGTATTTGTCTCGGAATGCACTGTTCGTTTTAAAGAGAAACATCAAGACGTAACGAAAACGGGCACCAAAAATTGTCTCGTCCAATCCAGACGGACCTTCTTTCGCATCACTCATTTCGGGAAATAAACGTAATTTTCGAAAATTTTGAAAATGTAGCACTGTGCGAGAAGTATCATCAGTCTCGAAAATTCTAGTCTCACCACTCGAAGTTGAGATAGAGGCTGGTCATTCCCTCATCTTGTTTCAGAAATATTTCGAGACAGAATATCACTGAGTACATGTCTGAATTTAATAACGCCATCGAAAAAAATTACAGCCCTGAGGAACATCAGTCATGAAGTTTCTCCACTTCCTCAACTATCACCAATGTTTCTAACGATTTAGTTTCATTCATTCACCAGAATATAAGTCCATATAGCAAACAATAACTGCACCAATGAACTGAAAACAAAAAAAANAAAAAAAACCAACCGAAGTAGACGTAGGTAGAGTGCGTGACGCACGAGGACCAGTGTTGAAGATACGTTTCTCCAGATCAAATGAGGTTGGTGGAGGAGTATAGTTTATTTGCTGCAACAAATCCGTTCCCGTTTCAGTACTCATTACGTATACACCTCAAACGACTCCGTCATCGATTAATCAACCGTATTGATATCTATATAATAACTTTAGCGAACACCTGGACGTAACCAAACTTTGTGATTATCAAAAAAATCTGCAAAATTTGATTTAAAAATGGATAAACGATGAGCCATACATGGTTTGAACAAACACTTGCGGCGAGAATTACTGCACGTGCAACTACAACTAACGGTCAGAGCAAAGCTAAATCCACCTGGTCACGTTATAAAGAATCAACGAAAACACAAGCAGCGTAAAAAAACTCACAAAAATGTCGGCTGGGAAACAGAACAATTTTGAGCTGAACGATGCATGGAAACTTTTCAAAAAATTAACTTATTTACAATACGAATGGTTATGTTAAAAATAATAATTTATAATAAGATCAAAGCGATGACTAATATAAAGCTAACAAAATAAGACATAACTTCAGCATGCAATCATACTGCACCACTCCCTAACGCACTTAAAACCCGTAATAAATACCTTCCGATAAAACCAAACGTTCATGATAAATCATTTCAGAACGTACCCAACAAATTTTCAACAATAAATATATACAACGGTTGATGGGAATGGCGGGAGAATACTACAACAAAATAAATCGATAATAGAAAGGGGATGAATAAACACAGACGCAATCAACTTTCTATGACGGCAATGCGGTGAACAACAACAACCAGTTCAATAACAGTTACATATAGGAATTAGTA